GGTGGGGAGGGTGGGAGTGATACGGGACTGTCCAGCATCCATTAGGATAGGTATTTTTCAGGATCTGCAATACAAATAGATCATTCACTTTGTAATTATAAAGTGAAGAGCCACTAGAAACTATTTGTGTTTCTCAAATATAAGGCACCTACTATCAGAATATTGAAATGGTCTATTAGGAAAATTGTGCTTTCAGCTTTTTGGATGCGTATAGTTGAATTTCATAAGGCTTAACCTCAATTTAAATGCTTTCTGAGGTTTTGCTCTTTAAGTTTGAAAACTTTTTTTATTAATCAGAGAGGAAGTGGAATATCATATGCAGACCACTCTAAATGAAAAATGGAAACAGATTTTATATTAAAGTGCCTATGAATGAAAGGTTGTATGTAAAATACAAGAAACCAACAAATCTGTTTTCTAGCAATTTAATCAAACATTGAGGTTAAACATTCTTTGATCCTTAAAACTCATTTTGTGGTTTAAAAAAATAATAAATGCTGCTGTCAAGAATAGATTGTATGGTATAATGTGAACTGTTTTTAGACTCAATGAAATTCTGTGATCAATATAAGATGGTCAGTGTAAGACACAGCGTGCTTCAGTGCAAGTACCAGACATTTAAATTACTCATCCAAGGTGTTCAGCAATTGATCACTTCATTAACTAGAGAGATCTCTTTTTTTATAGTGCAAAAAGAAAACACAAACTTGTTCCTTGACTTTTTGTTATGATAGTACAACCATTTTGAAGACTGTTGATCTTTCAGTATTTCTAGAACAAAAGAACCACTTGTGCTTTATTTTCCATAGATTATACCAAAAACAATACATCGTATATACTGAGAATATGGATTTATGTATTTGTTATACCCTAGGCATAACGATTTTTTAAGCTGCCTTGGTGCTTTATCCATAATCCCATTTACAGCAAACAATTGATTTACTTGTCATGAGACAGAGGGCAAAAATTTAGTTACTCAGATTTGCTTGTACCGCTTGGGTTTGATGTGTTGTCTTTCCTCTTCTACAGTGGGGCACAGACACTGATGAGTGGTTCAAACCCTATGTTGGGGTGCAACACTGGTGCCATAGCCCCTGCAGGTATAAATCTGAGTGGCATTTTACCATCAGGAGGTCTGGTACCAAATGCGCTGCCCGCTGCAATGCAGTCTGCCTCTCAAGCAGGTTAGTGTGAATAAGTTGAAAAGCCACCCTTCAGATAGGGACAGTGTGAAAACATATTGTGAAAACGATGGACGAAAGTGACCATTGTGTGAATAGATTGTGTATTTGATGGCTGGAGCTCGGGAACAACATACATATTTTTGCATTCGAAGTGTAGCCTATGTTTGTTTGAAATTGATTTTGAGGAGCTAGACTGGGGAAACATACTTGAAACCTGGACTGTTGGGTATGCTTAGTGGGAAGTTTGAGATAAACTCCAAATTCAAATGCAACGTTGATAATGATGACTGCTAAAAAAAAGGCATGACTGAACTTAGAAAGAGGCATCACTTTTTAAATCTGTGAGGCATTTTATTCTATCACTGGTACTGCTTTATTTTAGTAGGACAATTAATTAGCTCCTTATTGCCTTCAAATATGACTATATAAATCCGCATGCCTCAATATTCATTAAAGCAGCATTTAAATTTTTAGTTTATTTTTTCTGAAAAAATAATAAAGACAAATAAAAACCCTGATGTATGATTATGGAATCAGAAGTATAGAAGAGACTTCAAAATATCCATCCCTCATACTGAGGCAGAGTCAAATCTGTCTAAACCATACTGAACCAATGCTTAGCTGCTAAACTGGCTTTAAATACCTTCACTAAAGAAGATTCCAGTCTCCCTTGGTAGTTGTTTGGAGTAGTTCATTATGCGTACAAAATGTTTCCTTCTAATTGCAGTCCATCTCCTTAATTGCGAATTAAATTTTTTTTTTCTCCTGTTCCTTGCAGACATGAAAAATAGTTGTTCACCCTTTCTTTTTACCTTCTAAGTATCAAACATACTGTCATGTCCCACATTTGTCTTCTCTTTCTGATAGGTCGTATTTTTCAAACCTTTCATAATCCTGTCACTCTCTTCTAGACTGTCCAATTTGCTTACATCCTTCTTAAAATGTGATAACCAAAACTGGACACAAGCCTGAGCTTGGCTGATTTACCACTGTGGAGCACAGCAGAATAAATGCATCTCATCTCTTTCACAACATTCCTGTTAACATTTCCCCAAATGAGGTCTGCCTATTTTTTATTTGTATTTTTCGCAACGGCATTACATTAGCATAAGAATGGCTTTACTGGTTTAGGCCAAAAATCTGTCCAGTTTATATTCTGTCTCTGACAGTCGCCATTAGAGGATAGTTAGGAGAGAGTTTAAGACAAGGCAAAAGTGTGAAGTGAAACATCCCTTATATACAACTGTACCTCTTCTGGCAATCTACAGCTTTGAGACTTTCTCAGCTGAAGACTATCCACGTGGATCTCTGTGCTTGATATTCTGTGCTAGAATTCTAGTCTGTGGATTTATCTAATTGGTTTTTGAACCCGTTTATGTGTTTGGCATCTACAGCATCTTGTGACAGTGAGTTTTATAAATGTAAACTGTGTGAAGAGGTTCTTTTCTTTTGTGTGTTCTGTAGTTTGTGATATGGATGATTCGGATATGTTTGTGACTTGACTGTAACTTCTCACGTCCTTTCTTGCTGTATAGACACAAAGCTAGTTACTCACAATTTTGTACTTGTTCATTTGTCTTTTTTTAATTCCATGTTACTGATTTTTGGACCCTTTCTTCAATTCCTTAGGATTACTTTTAATTTTAATTCTGTCCTTTCAAGCACTATCTACCTGTACCGGTTTGGTGTCTCAGATTTTTACATGCTACTCTGTCGCCCACATAACAGATGGGAGTAGTGAGCTGAGCTAGGTCGGTGGCAGACCTCTGGGGGATTCTGTTTGACAGCTGCTGTTTTACTGGAGCGTTTGTATCAGTTCTGTACCCAATTCATAGCGTGCCACATGTACATCTTTTTTTAGTATAGCTTTGAAGAGTGCCGTGTGGAATAATGCCAAAAGCTCTACAAGTCAGATACATCTTGCCAGAAGCCCTTGGGAGGGTTGCTAAGACTTTGGATGGGATTGTTTTCTGTTGATTGAGAAACTGAGAGCCTGTTATTTCACTGAGCCCTTGAACATTTCTGGATTTACTGTACAAACAGTAAAACTTCTTAAAGCCAGAAGAATCACTGAAGAATAACTGCTATGATATTGTCCACATTCACCTTTGTGTAAATGCATTAACAGGTTATAGGTTTCAGGGTACAGTGATTAGTAGCGATACAGTTTTCTTTCCGTTTAGTCAGCTTTCTTTAACGTTGAATCTGGATAACTATGAACTTATCAACATTATGGAAAATGCAGCATTGTATTAAGTATAAAATTTAAACTTGCCAGTTTTCCAACTTCCAAATGTTTAGAAATGATCCCAGTGGAAAGGTGTATTAATTGCAATACACATATATAATTAAGTAAAGACTTCCTACTAATAAAAAGATGTTTTCTTTAACAGGCAGCCCCTTTGGTTTGAAAAATGCATCAAATCTTCGGCCCTTAAATCTTCTACAGGTAATTGATATACTTGGACACAATAATAATGATAATTTCTTAATTTTCTTTAGAGATGTGTTTAGTGCTGCTTACTGCATTGCCCCCCACAGATCTTTGAAGCCAGTTGATCAGACAAACCATTTACTGCAAATTTTAGTTGCTTATTTAAAACACTTACAACAAGAGAACAAGCTATTTCGTTAAGGATACCAGGTGGAAATTAGATTCTTAGCTCACAACAAAGCAGCTAGTTCTCAGTAACAATCTAAAACTGCTGACATTTGAATTCAAGAGATTAATGCTAAAATACAATCTTCTATTTTCAGAATTTGCCTAAGCTTTTATTGCAGATCATTCTTTAAACTGAAGTTATGATTATTTTAAAAGTACAAAACAGTACACAGCAGGATCACTCAGGGGTTACTGAGCTGAGCTGAACATGCACAGGCAGGTGCAGTAATAGTTTTAAAGAGCTTCTGGTAATGGAAATAGAAGTTCATGTAAGATAGGGAGTTTAGAACGTCTGTAAATGTTTTCTTTCCACTAAGCATACATACAAACACCAACATGAGCAAAAGTTGCTTATTATGTCGGAGCTCCATTTAAAAGCAGAACAGGGAGTGTTTGTGGAACTGGGTGTAGTTCCTGGATTTGAAGTCAGCTGCAAGTTACAGGTGCAGAAGTGCAGATTCAGTGTTGCACAAATGTTGCACCATGCTTCAAAAAATTAGTACCAGTAAAAGATGAGCTGTAGCTTTGCTACTTCCTCCTCCCACTCCTGTACACACTCCAGAAACATGGAAAAGGGCAGGCACAGGAGGCAGTTATGCCAGAGTAGAGCTCTTCTATAAAATTTAATGCTTGTATTTGTGTGATTCCATGTTGAAGTACATCCTTTCAAGCTACCTCTGCCACTCATATAAGCCAAGAGTAATTTGGCTGAAATCAGTGCAATTAAAGCTGGGGTAAGGGAGAGGAATCAAGACTGTTTAAGATTTTTTTGCATCAGACCTTGTTGATAGGAAGCATCTATTAAAGTTCAGTGGAATATTCTGGAAGTGAAAATAATATACAGTGCTTTTGAAGACTAGCCTTTACATTTCTAGTATCAGCAGAATCTCTACTATTTTAATTAGAATAATAAAAATGTATTTTTCTGTGGAAATATCTCACTGTAATTTAATGCAGGTTTGTTTTCTGAGCATAAGGCTTTTTCACAAACAGCAGCAATTGTAAACTTACTCATTTTAAAAGGATTAAAAAAAAAAACCCACAAAACAAAAAAAAAACCAAAAACAAACCTCCAAGGAGTACGTCATTATCAATGTCATGTTCATCCTAGGACAGTGGGAAACTCAGCAGTTTGATTGAATTATGCCTTTTGTTTTTAATCTTCAACAGCTTCCAGGTGGTTCACTTATTTTTAACCCACTCCAGCAACAACAGCAGCAGCAGCTGTCACAGTTTTCTCCACAGCAACAATCTCAGCAGCCTACAACCTGTAGTCCTCAGCAACAGGGAGAACAGGTGTGTGCTAACAGCCCTCAGTCTGGGGTGCATGGATGAAACAGTTTCTCCTATTCTCCCCATCTCCACAAGTAAATGAGCCTTTACACAATAGATCTGAAGCAGAGGGGGAGGAAAGTCTTCCTCCAAAACCTTCTCAAACTGCAAAGACTGCAGTGGCTTTGTTGCCATGGCTGGAGCTGGGTTATACTCCTTTATTTATATCCTGTATAGAAGAGCTATACAACTGGCTAAGCATTATCTTACTCTAGCATGAAGAGAGCCAGCCCACTGTATGAGTGGTGTAAAGTCAGCTTAGTGTTGTCCTGTTTGTCATAACTAGCAGATAACATCAGATGAACAGAGAAGAAACAGTCAGGATTACTAGAGTAACTAAAACTTCTTCCTTTCAGTGCTGTGAGTTGGCTTATCATCCTCACTGCTGTAGTTCAACAGAATTGTTCTCTTTGCACCAGAGAAAGTATCAGTTGGCTTTAAAGCTGTAATCTTAAGACACTTGCTCTACTGCTGCCTGTAATTAGTGTTAAAGGCTTTAACCAGTGAAGAAGTCTAAAGTCTTGATAGAGACCAAGCTGTCTGTTCTCAAAATGACAAATATTGAGTGGTTGTTTCTACCTGTGCCTAAAAATCTTACCAGCACTAATGCAGCAATTTGGGAAAACTAGCTGCTCTGCTTTTGTGTTCTTTATCTTTTGTCTTCCCAGACATGCAAGACTTCTGTTTACCAAATAGTCTCTACTGTATACTCAGTTTGTCATAATAATTTTGCTTGTGCTACCATAGACTGTTCATAAATAACATGCCTCTTTAAAATGTTTTTATGGTGTATGGTCTCCTGTGTCACAGGCCTTGTTCTGCAATGTGGGACAGTTTAATGGGAGACTTTCAGATTTATTCTCAGAATCCAAATGTCAGTTACTGGTTGAATTACTAAAAAAAAATTCATGCAAGCTCATACTATTCATGCAAGCTCATACTAAATAGACATACCAGTAGTATGTCTATTTTCTAGACATTGAACTTTAAGGGCATTTACAAAAAGGTTGATGTAAGCCTAGTCCTTCTTGTGGCAGAAAGTTCTTCTGGAGGACACCAATCTCTCTGCATTGCCTAACTTGCCCCAAGGAACACTCTCCTATCACGCATTATAGAGTAAGACTAGGGTTATTAGCTAAAATGAGCTATTATGAATACCAAATTCCTTAGCTTTCACTAAGGACAAGAACGTATATGTTCACAGTGCTGTAATCCAAGTGCTTAGTGGAAAAAATCTAAGCTCAAAAAGACCAACAATTTGCTGTGCTGCCAATGGAATGCATACATTCTCGTCTCATACTTAGGGTTTTTCCCCAAATGTTGGTTCTATGACTTTGTAAGTCTGTCTTAGTCGTCTTCATCGAGATGATGATGTCTTCTTAATGTGCAATCTTTTGGTCAAGTTCACCTAGATCTTCGTGGCATTATTTCATATGGTTATTCTAAAGAAGCATTGCAACTCCTGGAAATGCACCAGCTCAAAAGCTTTTTTTTTTCTGACTGATAAGCCATGTAGTTTGCTTGAATCACATATATAATACTTTATTTCCCCACTTTATGAATCAATGCATAATTGCATAAAAGTTCTAGAAAAGGTCCTAATTGAATACCCTTTGACTTCAGTAGACACTAGATCAGACTCCACTAATCCCATCTGAGTGAGAACCACTCTGTTTTGAAAATAAAATTTTAAAAGCAGGGTTTGCATTTTTTATGAAATCAAGGAGTGCATGGCACAATATGAATATGTCAATGTAAGTTTCAGACTTTTCACATTTTGATTGATTAGGAGCTTTGCACATGGATGGTTTCAGGTATTACCTGAAGACTTTGGGGTTAGGAGTGGGAAATGTCATAAGATTGCAATGATAAACTGTAGTCTCTGCTGACTGCAGGGAAGTTGACAACAGCATGGGACTTCTGCTGGGTAACAGGCATAATACCATTTCTGCCAAAACAGAGCTGTTCTGGGGCATTCAACATCTGTTTGTTCTACTATAATAGTGACTACACTATAGCCTGTATCTACACGCACTGGAAGATGTAAATTAAATGTTTTTAAATGGCACTTCAAAAGTTTGCCTTCACTGGCTTTATTTACTTATTCATTGATACCAAAGTTTGGTAATAAGGATCAAGCTTTTCATTTTTGCTAGGGGTCTGACCAAGGTCCATCCAGTCAAGATCAGGCATTATCTGCCCAACAAGCTGCTGTAATTAACCTGACTGGAGTAGGGAATTTTATGCAACCTCAAGCCACAGGTATGTGCTTGCTGAGCCTCCTTTTGTAGTTAAGTGTGTTATCTTGATAAATTCACACTGAAATGAAGTTTGGTCTTAAAGAAGTCTTACATTAGATCAGAACAATTTACTATTTATTATTAGCACATGAATTATACAAGAAACACTGGACTTTCAAAGCATGCACTTTTCTGCTTTCTTTGCAGTTAAGTGTAGTAAATTGATAATATCACATGAAAATAAGTCACACTTGATACAAAAAGAACATACAGGGAACTTCCGTGCCAAACTTCATTGAGGAATGTTTCTTTAACTGTGTGCTTAACATCCAGTACAGAAACCTCTTTGTGTCTCCACAAGCACTCCATAATCTAGTTTTGTTCTAACTAACAGAGTACGTATATCATGTATACTTTATTCTGCACTGTTTCCAATTTGACTCTGAAGCTAATTCTATTGATCCCCCTTTTCTGTTACACTCTATTCCTATGTCTTCCTTGCCTGACCCTGACAAACTCGACCTGACCTCTTTGACCTGCCTGCTTTCCCCTTCTCCTTTCTTAGTGTTGTCTCAGCTTGGCTCTGCCGTGAACAGACCTGGGCAAAGCCTTCCTCAGCAGAGACTCCAGCTCTCTTCTGCCTTACAACAGCAACAGCAACAAGCCTTGCAGCAGCAGCAGCAACAGATACAAGTAATCCAGCAACTTCACTCTGACTGTTTAAAAAAAAAAAAAAAAAAAATAAAATTCGCAGCTCCAAAACCAAAAATCTTGCCCCTTTGACTTTTTTTTTTTTTTTTTTTTAAAACTAATGTCTTTATGGTCTCACAAATGAAAAAAAACCCATGACTTTTGGCAAACTGTATCATGAAAGACTTGAAATCTATGGTTCTCTCAGCTTGGAGCACTGAATTTATTTTTATTCATTTAAGCCATCCACCTTCCTGATTTGCTAACATTCAAGGAGTGCTTGTGGCACATATCTAAATAAGCTCTGCCAGATGCCAGTAGATTTCAAAATAGCATGAATGTAAGCACCTGTAAGTTCAAATGTAGCACTGCTACAATCAGTACATGGAGGCAACAGCTGTGGCAAAGCATTCCTTTAGCATTCTGTCATTCAGATGCTTTATGAAAATATTTTAATATTTTTTAGCACACAGTCTCCTCTTTGTGATACATGTAGAAAATACATACAATGCATACACTGAAAAGGTATTATGTTAAAAATGTACTGTGTAACCCAAACATTCACTGAAGTTGCTGAGTTACTGCAGTTACTGCAATGGAGAGAAAGGGCAAAGAAACAAAGCTGTCCGAGTACGTGTGTAAAATGTCAGATATGCCCTCAGCAGGCTTCTGTGCCACTGGTGCTGCTTGACTGTACTCATTGCCCCAGTACATGGTGTATTCCTTTTGTCAACCTGGTGCGTCCTCATTTTTTTTCTTTTCATTTTTTGCCCCCACCTTCCTCTCATTCTTCCTGATGTGAAACGTAGCTTTAGAGTCAACACTAACAAGCTTTTTCTCCCCCTTCCTCTTCACGGCAGCAGTTGCGATTCTTGCAGCATCAAATGGCTATGGCAGCAGCAGCAGCAGCACAAGCAGCTCACCTGCGTCATCAACAGCATTCAGGCAGCCACTCAAAAAGTAAAAGAAAAAGAGGCACACCGGCCCCTCCAAAATCCTGAGACTTGCTTGCTTTTTTTTTTTCCTCCCTCCCAAATAAAAAATTGATTCAGAGGGGATTTTTTTTTTCAGATTAAAAAGGAGAAAGCTTAAAAACAGATCAGTGTTTTACATTACTGGTGGGAAAATGAACTTTTGACGTTACACTGAAATAAATAAACTGGTTTTGGAAGCCAACCTTACAGAACTTAGAGATTTCATCTATAAAGCAGCTAGGGTCTGGTTTCCTTAAGTCACTTAATTTTTTAACAGAACGTTTTATCTTGTATTTTTTACCACTCAGCAGCATTGTACATAGTATAAGGGTGAAAAACATTTTAGAAAAAATGAACTTTGTAAATGTAGTATTGGTATTTGTTTATTTAGTATAAAAGGTTTGTGAACACTGTAACAAATACAATTTTTACAAATCCATTTTTGAAAAGATCTCTCCTTTTGTTCACTTGGGCTTTATACTTTTTATTACTTTGTCTATCAGCTTCTTTACTTCTTTGTGCCTTGTAATTGCTCTGCTGATACAGTCCTGAAGCTTGGCTCCCGTAAGAGGACTTCCACCTAAAAGTTAAAGGGAACAATTTGATTTTCTATTTATACTTCAGTTAAGTATCTCTAAATGTGTTTTCCAAATGAGAGTATTATGTAATACAGTAATTCTCATGACCAACAAGTTTCACTTGGGGAGCATACATGTTCCCCAACTCTAGCCTCAGGCAAAGAAAACAGAAACAAACTAGAGGTGTAACAGGAGACGTGCTCAAATTTTGTCCTTTGCTGTACGTAGGTCAAGCTGTGACTTCTTTTTGAACTTTGAATAGAATAGACTATTTCAGTTGGAATGGACCTACAACTTTTTCAAAATGAATTTCAAGAGCAAGTCATTTAATAATAAGTACTCAAGCAGACAGCACCCACATTTTACAAAAAAAATCAAGGTCAAGAAAAATTATAATCTCCATAGGTTCCTGTGTAGTAAACATGGAAGTACCTGGCTTATGGACAGAACATAGTCTGCCTTCATCATCAGTTACAATAGTTACTGTTCCAGTTGCTAAGTCTTCTTCTTCAGCAGTTGGATCAACAATGAGTAATGTGCTTGTGAAAGAAGAACATATGCACACACATCAGTATATGTTGCGCCATTAACATTATTGCAAAGTACATATAACTTACTAATTTTTGCTTAGAAAATACTCATAGGTGGATTTGGTGTTCAGGCTTATCTGTTTTCTTACCAAAATGCACCAATTTAAAGAAAGAAAAAAAAAATGAAGTGGGAGATTCTACATATTCAGGTGCACATGTCTGTTAAAATACTAGCTGTTGAAAATACAGCTTTTATGCCTAAGTTTCATAGATTTGTGATACTTGCATATTGCAGGAAAATGCCATGAAACTGCCATTTGCAATATGCAGTCACTTATTTCATAGTTATGCAAAGAAAATGGCATTGGTTTTAGGTGTAGGCTGCACTAATGTCTACGAGACCTTAAGGCAAAACTCATTTCCATAGTAAATTCACCAAAGTAGTTCTCAGTTTCTTGTCAGAGAACTCGAACACCACTCAGGGAATAGTTCAAAAATGGATTTACTGGGTTCCTTAAGGCAGCCAAAATAAGCTGTCGTACATCACATGATGCAGATCATTAAAAGAGATTAAATATTGTTATTTTTGAACCATTTAGTAAGTTAAAAATAGAGCAAACTAATGGAAAAAGAAAAAAAGGGGATCTAAAAAACGTTGCACAACAAGAAAAACTTGAACTTAAAAAAAGCTGAATAACCACTGTTCAGCCTTAGTTTCTTTAAAAAATAATAATAAAAAAAAATCACTACCATTACAAACATTTGGCTGAAGTGCAGGTATCATGACAGGAAAGACTTTAGCTGAAGTTTTCATGAAGCCTCAGTTTATGCTGTTAAATTAAAATTTAGTATTGATGTAATCAAACTCAATTTAGCAGCTGGAATACACCTATGCTAAGTGATGTTTATGACAAGTTTGCAGGGGGGAAGTCAGTAGCAAGGCTATAGGAGCTGATTACACAAAATAGATGGAAGGATAACAGAATTTTTCAATTTGAACTCATATGCAATGCATACTTGAGTAATTTAGAACTTCACCAATAGTTTCAGATTGCCATTAACAGCAATAGTGTAACGAAAACATCAGTCCGTAGCTACACTACTCAAAAATACTGTTTTATTAATTCTACCCACACTCACTGTGCAGCATCGTCCCTTTGCATGACACAGGGGCCTGGCACACATGGAGAGTTCGGTGCATCAGAATTATTATTTACGTACAGGTTGACTCCATAGGAGCCAGCTGTGGAGCTGCGCAGTGCTCTGCAACAGCGCTCCTTGACCATGGCCACACTATCCAGCAACCCAGAAGTTTTATTTATTCAAGTAGGGCTTTTACACAGAAGAAAAATGTCTCTGGAAGCCAGAGTATGTAAAGCATATTATTTAGAGTGCTGTGTCAACAGCTGTAGAAAAACTAGTAAACCAGAATTAAAGGAAAAAAAAAAAAAAACCAAAACCCTAAACCACACAACACAGGCACACACCCCCTCAATATTTAGTTCTAGGAGCTAAAGGGAGACTTAAGTAACTTGTTTGATGCAACAGTCTGTTTCAGTGAAGGGAACAAAGCCCAACAGACTGTCACTGAAAGCTTTCTTCCAAAGGCAACTTTTTTGTCTATTGGTAAGCATGTGTGATTTGTGTGCAAATAATATCCTACTGACAACTGCCTACCATGCTATCCAAACTCTCTCACTTTCAGCCTACATCAAACTTCAGACCCACAAGAACTGGTATTAAAGCAGTTAACAGAAGCGCTCTAAAGTACTGATAACTTTCTGCTTTGATTCATTCTGGTAATCACTTGGTCAATGTTTGAGTATAGTGCTCCCCCCACCCCATCTCATATTTAAATGAAAGGGCCTATTAATCATTTCTGCCAATACAGATTAATGTGCCATAAACCCCTGACATCTCTATATACACCTAAATCTTAAATCAGATTCATAGCACAGTGAGCATCATCTTATTTGTCATTTTCTACTTTTCAAACGGATATCACTATAAATAACTGCATTTCTTATAAACAGCAACAGAACACATACTTAACGTACTTGGACTGATGAAGGGCCAGTAAACAACTTCAGGTGAGGAGTCAAGTTATTGGATGTGATAATTCGGAATTCTCATAATCAGATTCTTTACCTACGTGAACAATGCCTTAAGAGTGCTGGTCAGACTTCATCTTGGGTAATTATGTTTTCAGTTATCCAGAGGTTCTGTTGTTCTAACTGGACCATTACTTCGTACTTCCTCTGTTGACTAAATCCTTGGTATAAGCTGTTCAAAAACTACCTACCATCTTTTATATCAGTTATTTACATAGGCTTCTAAAACATTAATTGCAGTGGTAACATTCTTTTGTCTCAAAGATACTGCAAAAACATAAAACAATACCTATTCCCATACTTTTAAGCATATCTTTTAGGTTGGGAACCAGTTCTGCTTTAAGTCACAGGAAGAAGTTGGACAGACTTCGTTTTGTTCTACATACTCATTCATATCACAGAACTACAGGTCAGTTCAACAAGAGAGGCCGCAGCTTTAAGATCAAGTGGAACAGCATTGCCTGAGACTGCACGTTCTTCACTAGCAGAAGTGCATAAGAAGTGCAGAAACATCATTGATTGCATCCTCTGTCTTTCACTTCTTTAACATACACAGTTGTTTTCGTAAGTACAAAACAGTTACGAACTTACTCATCAAATATAGCAAATGACGTGGCAACTGGATGCTTTCTGATAATCAAAGGATTCTTCTGTTTTAAATTAACTTCTGATAAACCAGTTTCTTCATTCATAGTAACTGATGGCAACTGTACTGAAGAGATGAAAAAATGACAATGGTATAATATTAAACATTGCTGGTTTTAGTAGGCCTAGAGATGTCCAAGACTACTGAAATATAAGCTGTTATTTTACCATATTGGTAAGCCACTGCAAGCAGATCAGGATAGAGTTTTGGCTACATTACTGGTGTTCTGTACAAAAAATTTCTTGAATCTGAGGAAAGTATTTAGCTTAGTACTACCCATTCAAGAAAGTATTCTCCTCAAGCTAACACTCTTCCTTACACAGAAGCATTTTCCAAAATGCCATATAGTTATAATACCTTTAGAGTAATATTTTACAGAAAGTGCTTTTCCCCAAAAAGCCTATTGGACACAATAAAAACCCATGCAATCTGATCTTCAGATAACACTTGCTCTGACAACCCATACAGTGTTAGAGACAAGAAAATCAAAAGCAAAGTAGCTATAGGAATTCAAAGGCAAGCAATTCAGTTAGAAAAGGAGGCCTTGCTGTAAGCTTCCCTTTATACTGCCTCCTACGTGCATTTATAACCCACATACCTGTGAATAATCAATCCATATGTTGCATGCATGAAAGGCAGTTTTTTCAAACTACAATGCATTAAGCTAGGAATATTCTGTTGTGACAAATAAGCAAAACCCCCAACAACTTATTCTGCCTACACAAAATACATTAACAAGGTAAGACCCTGATCTAGACATTAAAGTCATTTATAACCACTGCTGAAAGATTCAGATCTCTGACACAGAAGAACACATGACAGAATAGCTATTAGTCTTATTACACAGCAATAATACACACGCAAAAAGATCCTACTCCCCAGGTGTTACACATCTATGGCATCCATACCATCATTTCCACTTTGTATTTGCATTTTAGTAATTTGGCATTCAAAAGACAGGAAAAAAGCAGTCTTAAGGAATTCTGAACCAGTTACCTATTCACCATGATTCAAAACTAACATATTTATCCAAGGAACGCTAATCAGAGTGTGTCTCTTGCTCTAGAGAAGACTTACCATTTTTTAATGCTGCTAACAAAGCAAAGGCGCTGGCATCCAAAACATTTCCATCATAGTCCAGACATATGATATCACAGTATAACACCCAAGCAAGCTATCAAAAAAGGTTTGCACATGTGAGATGTTACAGCAGCTAAGCAAATGGTGCAATATCTAAGAAAATGCTGGCCACGTGAACAAAGATAATTATTTCTATCATACGATTTTTACACTTCAGATGTAAACCAAGCTATGAAGACTAACAAGCAAAAACAACAACAAAACAACCTATAACCCCAAATACCTCCTTTAATGTCTCAACACCGTGATCTTGTTAGTATGTCCATCTTCATTTTGAGATACAACTCACCTTGCCATTTGCAATACATAGATCTTCTTTCGCTATTATCTGTGAACTAAAATAAAATGAGAGAGTAAACCAGGAAATAGAAAATTGTCTTGCAGAGTTATTTGTGTTTTAAATGCATTAAGATGATTCTTACTTTTCAATCGCA